AAACTGCAAAAAAAAAAAAAAAAAAAGAAAAGAAAAGAAAAGAAAAGAGTATCTTTCCTACATAAATTGTTTTGTACTTTAGCTTTTTTTTTTTTTTTCCTGCAGTTTTTGGCCGGGGCTGGGTTTGAACCCGCCACCTCTGGCATATGGGGCCGGCGTCCTCCTCCTGTTTTGTACTTTTGCCAGAAAAGCTATTAAGCATATTTGTGGGGCTCTATTTCTGAGTTTTCTGCTTTCTTTCATTGACTTATGTGTCTATCCCACTATAATTCTAGTCTTATTGTATGTACTGAAATCTAATTTTTTAAAAGTTTATGATAAGTCTAATATAACAGTCATTTCATGCTTTAATTATTCAGGTAAGTAATGTTAAGTTAAAAGCTTTGTAGGATATTGTAACACTTTTGTTTGTAAAAATTAAGTATTTTTCTTAATATAACATAATCTTTACAAAATATCAATAAATAAAGGTAAGATAGAGCAAAAGTTAAGGAAAAAGGCCAAAATAAATAAGAAATGATGCCTTTGATTATAATCTCCCTTTCTCTTTCAGTATAGGTCAATTATTCTAAGTTAAAAAATAAACTCCTCTAAAACATATAGCACATGTATATTTCAAAACACTAAAACAATCAAACAGCAGGTCATTTGAACTGTGAAATTCCATGTGCTCAAAGGCTTTCAAAGCATTATATGAGGCTTCCTGCCTTAAGTCCATAAATTTTTATTGCCCTTCTTAAAGCTCATAAACTTCCTTGAATGATTTCTAATCATTTATTCTTTGCAGATACTAATCTGCTGAATTGCCTTTCCAACATTTACTTTGCTTTTTAACTGTGTGAATTATATTTAAGTACAAAATACTCAACAACCATACATATTGCTCTAATTGTGCTTTGGAGCTAACATGGAATAATGAATCATTAATTGCAATTAGAATATTTCATCCCTTCTGAATTAACTTCTTGCTTTACCCACTTATAGCATTTTCTACAGCAAAGCTTACATCCAAATACAAAGAGTCCATTGACCACCCTCCAAATCATCATCTTTCCTCAGTATACATTGGAGCTCTGGGAACAGCCAGTAGAAAAGTCCTTACTCTGTACACGCATGAAACAGTCAAGTAGACTACCTGAAAATTTCAGAAAACTTTATTTGTTGGGTTTGCTAAACTCTGTTGCATTCCCTTCTGAAAACAGATAGACTTAGATCAGCACAGACACCTGACAAATTATCCCTGTTTTCTACTAGCCAGTATGAAAGAAAGGACGTGATCTCCAAACCTCTCCTGTGCAAAGCAGTCTTCAGTGTTCCCTGCAATTACTAGACATGTCAGATTATCCCGAGGCGTGCATAGCTAAGAAAGGTTATGAATTGTCATCTCAAAGCATCACAAAGAGAAGTTTTCTCAAAGATTACTCCTTTACCTGTTTCACATCATATGCCAGAAGGACATATTTTAAATCCGGTGAAACTGAATGTCTTGATGCTTTGAAGGTTACCTAGGGGGAAAAAAAAAGAGTTATCTTAAAGTTTAATAGGAGAAATTAACATGAATTTGGATATATAAATATCAGAAAGGATCTCAATTCTCATCATAGCAATGTGAAATGAAATGGTTTCTTCACTCTCATTGGTGTTAATAAAATACCATAAGATTCACAGAAGAAATGGGAAGAATTTTATTTTTTTATAGAAAAAAAAATCTGCAGACAGGGGAGGCGCAGCCTTCAGTGCCAGAGAAAGCGCGCTTTCCACAGAATAAAATCAGGGCTGGCATAAGGAGGGAAATTCTGTATACTGAGTCTCAATCATGTCCATTGATGCAAATGAAAGACTCAAACGTGTCCTGTTCTGATTAGGTAAATTAATCAAGTCCTGATTGGTGGTTTCCAATCCCCACACCAGAATTTTCTGTCAGGTATTTTCTTCAAAGTGCTGATGCAAATGGTTGGGAAGGAGGTTCTGGCTCAGTTTATCTTAGCCCTGATAACAGGATGAGTTTTGCTTGATTGTAGCAAGGAAGGTCCAGTAATACTTTTATATTCTTCTGAAAACAGAGTTACTTGATTGTGCCTCACCCAACTGTGACTGCCTGGTTCTTTTTTAACTTTGAGCAGCTCGATTACCCTTGGGGAGTCCATTCTCTCTGTCAGCCAAGTATATACTTTTAACATTTTATATGCATCTGCATATGTCTGCATATTTGTATGGTTATTCCATGAATATAAAACTTAGAAAGGTCACATTAGACATGTTAATGTATTTTTCTATGTTATCCCTTAAGGAGCATGTTAATATTTTTATTATTAGGAAAAAAAAGATCAAAAGATCATTGACATTTATAAGTAATCAAAATGCTTTTATAGTGGCATGTGTGGTATGAATCAAAATGAAATACTGACACCATTATGATTATCTGTTTCTGCATTTCTACTGGTTGAATATTTATATTTAAAGCAAACACATTTAAGACTTAGTATTAGTAAAAGAAACTCCCAGGTGAAACAGATTAAAACACAAATACGTAACTTATTGTTAAATTTGATGTCAAACAACCACAACTGCATTATACCTGAGTTTGAACCTATAATCTAACAATTGAACAGACTTGGTGACAGGAGGGATTTAAATTATGTGACAAAAGAGAAATAGAGTGAGGGTGAGGAAAGTAATTTTATTTGAAGTAGATGTATAGGGCGGCACCTGTGGCTCAAGGAGTAGGGTGCCAGCCCCATATACCAGAGGTGGCAGGTTGAAACCTGGCCCCAGCCAAAAACTGCAACAACAACTAAAAACTCCAGGTGAAATAGATATATATTTCTAATTCATGTCTAAAGAGAGAGCAAACAAACTGAGTTGATACATCAAAAACTTCCAAAATATATTTTAAAAATCCATAATAAATTCCATCTGAATTTTAAGCAAAGGAGCTAGTTTTCATAGTATTTGCATATAAATATATACATAAATAATTTTGTGTTCCTTATATGAGGGTAGTTTCCATAAGACTTCCTTTTATGAAGAACAGAACAAGGTAAACTGGGTGGCTCAGTGAGTTAGGGCGCTGGACCCCTATATCAAGGGTGATGCGTTCAAACCCTGCCCTGGCCAAACTGCAACAAAAAAATAGCTGGGCATTGTGGTGGGTGCCTGTAGTCCCAGCTACTTGCGAGGCTGAGTCAAGAGAATCGGCTATGAGCAGTGTGACACCACAGCACTCTACTGAGGATGACAAAGTAAGACTCTGTCTCTAAAAAAAAATAAATAAATAAAAATAAGTTGGTTATTTTTTTAAAACATAAGAACCCCCAAAACACAATTAATAGGATGAAAAACTTGAACTAATCAATCTTTGGAAATGTGGGAGGATTAATAAAAAGTATAATTAGTGTCTGAGCCTATTCCCTGGCACAGAGGTAGATACAGGAACTCCTAACATTTCCTGAGAAATAGAAATGTCTTTTCTTATCCATAGCAAACTCCTTTCAATCATACCTGACTTTATGCTAAGGAGACAAGAGAGGATTCATTGCAAGGGTGGGTCCTTTATAGCTTCAGAGTGAGGCTAGTCACCAGATCACATCAACCAAGGGATTGCAGGGTTAGACTTTCAGTCCTTCCCCAAGACTTAGTGAGGAAGAAGAGCTGGAGACTGGAGTCAGTCCTGTAGCCAGTGATTTAATAAATTATGCCTAAGTAATGAGACCCTAATTTTAAAAAATATGCTGAGTGTTGGGTGTGGAGAACAAATTCCAGGCATTCTTTATAAAATAATAATTGTGAAGGAAAGTGTAATCACTGCAAATCCTCATTATGCTTAACTTTGCACTTAGTTGCTTACTCTGTGAATGGATTGAAACAAAGTAGTAAAGGTGCCCTGAATAGGATGGAAAACATATAACACAGACATCTCAAGATGTGCAAAGGGAAGGAGATACCCAAGGAAGCCGCAGAAGTTGCTGGCCTGTCACGAGCTGGGCATGTGAACTGCAACAAGGTGGAGTTGCATTCACAGTAAGAAAGAGGGGTGGGTGTGAGCAGCAACAGTTGCAACCTATGCACAACAAATTAATCACTTAGGCAAAAATGGCTAAGGTAGAGACCAGTCAGACCAATAAACGGCAGGTGTCAAAGCGGAGTTTCCCATATTAGATATGTCAGTACAGAAAAATGGACACTTCTGTACTTCCTGCAGGTAGTGCTACACAGTGTAATATTTATTGCAATTTTCCTTGTAATCTTTTTTCTTCTTTGTTCTGGCTTTCAATAAATATCCTTTGGAACTTGGAGTCCTCCCCCCATCACCCTGCTCTGACAGTGTCTGGCCCTCCAGGATCCCTGGGTTGTATGGTTGTATTATACCAAGAACCAGGAGGCTCTGCCTTGCCTCAGTTGGGGAGCATGGTCATGTATGTAGAAGGTGAAGTACCCCAACTCCAAAACAATCCGAGGCTCCTGTGCTCTCGACACCCTTTGTGGACATCACCCTGGGTACCCCATTCTTTTGTATCGTTCACAGTAAACTAGTACTCCTAAGTAGAGTTCCTCTGGAGCTTGGTTAGTTATTCTAAAGAATTGTTAACAGAGGGCGTAGCCTGAGAAAAGGTAAAAATGTTTTCTGTGTCTTTAAAACAACCTCACCCAATTTGAAAACTAAAACCTGCACTCCTGCCTCAGGCCAGTGGCCAGGAGGAACAGGTGAGTGGCCTTTGTTCTTTGTACCACGGGAGATGACTCAACAGATTTGTTGGGCTGAAGTCAAGTACCATCTACTGGGGTTAAACAGCACCCTGAGTGTGAAAGTGAGTGTGAAAACACTCACTTTAAAAATTCCCTATTTCTGCTTCTGATTAGGAAATTGATACTTTAAAACAGGAGTCTACCATTTCCTCATTTGCCATCAAATTACTAAGCTCACCTTTCCTTTTCCTCAAACACTTGTTCTCATTCTTCTGCTGGGGCTTCAGGGACAGGTGCTGAGCTTTTAGTAACAGAACTATCTAACCTGAAGAGGGTAATGGGAACAGTCACATTTGTGGGCAAGTTGGACAGAATGCCAGTGTCCTCGGGACTTGCAGCTGGTATTTAAAATAAAGTCAGTCTCGGGGAATTAAGCTTTTTAATCTGTGGTGTCTACACTAATTCCTGGTAGTTAGTGTCAAAATTAAGAGATTTAGTCCTAACTCCATAGAGTTAGTGTCAAAACTTAATTGAATAGTGGGGCATCCTACTGGCTTCAGAAAATTATTGTTAGAACGTATCCAAAAATGGAGTGGTCAGAAAGGTGGACCATCTAATGGCAATGCTAAGATTTAGGGGGTTTGCCTAGACAGACCCATCTTATACAATCCTAATATAAGATATTCTAGAAAAAGATAAGAGTATTTATGACAAGAATTCATCTAAAAAAATTGGTTTTCATTTTTTAAAGGCTCCATATCAATAATAATTGAATAACAACAAAGATAACAACCGTGACATTAGCAGCTACTATTGATTAGTCATTATCATCTGATCCACAGGTTGCTAATAACTTTGCAGTTATCAGGTGTCCTCCAGTCCTCAGAGCAATAATGTGAGCTAAGTATCCTCATTCTCACTCGCTCTCTCTCTTCCTCGCCCCCCCCTCTCATAATGCATTGTATGTTGAAAGTTGATTGAAATTTCAATCAAATCCAGAGGATTTCAGATGACATTGAAAACACAAGGTCATCTTGCTCCATATTACAGTGTCAAGAAGTGTATTGTTCTTAAACAAATGGTTAAAGGAACAATATCAGATTCTATTGATACTGGACAAGTGGCACTCCAGCCACCTCAGCCCAGCGGGGCTGGAGGACCTGCTGCCTCCATCTTGGTGGTGTTGGTGACAACCAGCAGAGGATACAGCAAGCTGGAGCATAGGCAAGAGGGAGGAGTTTCCCTCCCCCAACAGAGGCTCCAGTGGCCAAAGGAACTGAACACAAGCGGGGGAAGACACTGGCACGGGGACTTCTGGTGATTCCTCCAGTGCATCCCTGATTGGTCCATTTTCAAAACCTACTCATGATTAGTCTGTTTTCAATACCCAAAAGCTCATTGGACAACTACCCCTATAGAAGTCAGAGACCCTGAGCACAGACCTTGGCAGATCTCAGGAGAAAGAGCAGAAGAGCAATGAGGTTTGGCTCTGTAACACTTGTATCCTGTTGCCCCTTTGTAAGAGCTGTAAACACTTGCAAAGAGGTTAGCCCCTTTGTAAGAGCTGTAACACTCAGATTATAAAACCTATCTTACTGCTAATCCTACTCTACAAGGAGGTTTGGCTTGTTGTAATAGCTGTAACACTTATACCTGTTGAATAAAACCTATCCTGTGGTCTGTCGCTTCATTCTTCGAACTGCCGAGACCAGGAGCCTGGAAATTCAGTATCAAGAATCTGGTATCTTATTGTTATTTAAAAATTGGTGCAATACTCAGTATGATGAGATCTCAATTATCAATATCTATGCACCCAACC